GTGTGTGTGTGTGTGTGTGTGTGTGTGTGTGTGTGTGTGTGTGTGTGCGTGTGTGTGTGTGGTAACTGATTACTCAGACGTATGACCACGACTCACTGAAAGCATGTGACAAACACACACACTGCTGTTCTCATGTTGTTACGGTTATTAATGCTTAAATATATAAGAGATAATAACAATAATGTGACACCAATTAGTATTTATAGATTGCAGCTCTACTGTAATAAAGTTTTATGACGTATAAAGAAATGTATACGTGTTGTAACAACATGGTTGTTTCTGTGTTTGCATGAAGGACAACATGTTAATACCAAACCTAAAGGTACCCCTCCTCGCGCAGGTGTGACTGCACTCACCTGAGCTGAGAGGAGGGTCGTCGTCCGTGTTGGAGAAGTCCAGCGTGGCTCCTGCGATGTCCACCATCTCGTCGTCATCGTCGTCTTCACTCGGGTGATGAAGGCTGTCAAAGCTCCCGGAGTTATCCATGCCTTCAGATCCAACAACACAACAAGAGGATAAAGTCCATTTTTAATCAAACAGACACCGGAAGCACCCCCACCACAATAAGATGAATACCGACGTTACCTCTGTATGCGTATTTGCGATACAAGCTCGACAAAAAGTGAAACATGGTCGCCAAAATTCTCCTTAAATCCAGCTAACGATACTTCATTAAAACACAAACCCTGGTACGTTTGTTAGCGGGCTCTTTAGAAACCAGTACACCCTCAGCTGGTCCCATCGTCCCCCTCCCCACTACAGCCAGTAATGACAGCTCATCTCCAGTTCCAGGGAAGTTTCTATTTTGCAACCGTTTCCGCTCTTTTCTATTCTTTACCGGGCAGCAGCGGAAGAAACGCCTCACTTGAAAAAACACACACACCCCCACCACGGTGGAGGTGTGTGTAGTCGTTAGTCTCGCGACTAACTGACAAAAAACAGCCGTTGTGCTAACACAAAACGTCACCGCGCTCAACACACACTTCCGTTCACGCGTAGTTTTTAACATAAATAAGGAAGATATCTACTGTTACCTGTGGTTGAAGGAGAGACAGCCGCGCGAAGAAGTGTCGTGACTCGGATTTTCTACCGTTGGCTGCTTATGTCAACAGTAGCTAAGCTAAATGTAAACTCCGTGAAAAACCCTGCGTCATTCTCCGTCTCAACAAAAAGAAACGACTGTTTTAAAACACAGAAGGTGTGCTAAAGGAGGCCATAGTATAACCTTATCTTAATACCAAACAATAAGGAAGCAGTGTGAAATTATCTGTGGTAAATTACGTGTTGTTTTCTGCCACTCAAAACTGAAAAAACTTCAAGCTAGCGTCAGGTTATCTAGCTTTAGCGACAACTTCCGGTTTAGACAGTTGAAGATAAGCAACAAAATCATTGATCTTCTAACATGCCCCATTTTACGATGCCAAAGTTAGAGTTTAATCACATGGATATTTACACTATCAAATATACATTTATGTTTAAAAAAATGGTGTTTCTGTTTTTCAAAACATTAAATGTCGTTTTAATTTGAAGGCCTAGTGGCTTAATTTCCGGTTTAACTGTCGTGTCACAGTTGCTTGACACGAGCATTTTGTCCGCCAGGAAAATCAGTCGAGTTCAGAGTTATCGATGTTTCTCCAACTGGGTCAGTGGAGCAGTTCAACTAATCGGTCATCTGTTATTAAAACTTTTCTTTTTTTACTTTTCATATAGAAACTATTAAAAAAAACATGTTTAACGTAACATGGTTTTCACTGTGTGTTTTACTGTAATGCTTCTTGTATGATGGACTATTTAAATAGGATAAAACCAGTTAAAGGGCGACATCTTGTGGTCATCTGTAAAAATAAATAAAATAAAATAAGGGCTCCTGAGGAAAAGTGAAACATTTTAAAGTGCAGACAGCATTGCATCATGTTCTCCTGGTTTATGTCTGTAGCTCTGATTAATCATCTCGACCTCCTTTTTCCCTTCCCATGATGCCTTGTTCCTCCCACTCGTTCATCTTCTTCTCCAACATAAACATTTCTCTCCACCCTTAACCTCCCACAGTGTTTCTGCTTTGAGTGGGGCCTGTTTCTCATCACTTCTCTTTCATCTACGTGAACTAGTTTGTGAGATTGCAATAATTCCATTTTTCTGTCTTTCATCCCTCTCTCTCTCTTTATATTCCCATCAGTCCCTCTGTTCTTAAATCTGGGTCAGGCAGAAGAATGAACTCCCTAGGTTCCCCCCAAAACACACAGATTCTTTGCTTCTACGACAGATGTTTTCTGTATTATTTCCACTGACTCTCTCCGTCTCTGTGAGACCAAACACGACCACCTAAAACATTTATCTCTCCATCTAGTCTTCAGCTTTTATTTAGTTGCTCCGGCTCTAGTCTCCATTAAAAGAACCAGTTGATAGACCCACATATGTTATCATCTAACATGACATTATACCGCCGCCAATCCGTCTCCAGAGAAGGATTTTACATTACAATTCTCATAAAAACATGCTGTTATCATGTTTTTGACACTGTTAAAATGACAGTTTCTTGTAAAGTAAGACATAATTGCAGCTCCACGTCTTCCTACAATTACTTTAATTACTATAAGTTGCTGTATTCTTTTGATACAGTAGAAATACTGTCAATGTATCACCGGCAAAGTTTCCAGTAATTTAACAGAGAGAACAGTTAAAACTAAATGAATTAAAACACAATTTCAGAGCTTTTTTAAAACGTTTTTATAGCCGTAGCACTTGAATGAATCACAACAGGAGACGTGAAGCTAGTTTAAAATACTATTATTATTATTTATGGTACTGTTTTTCCTCACGTGAGTGTTTTGTTGCAGTTACACAAGTTGTAATGCATTTTACACACACACACAAAAAATAATGTAATAAATCAAAATTACATAGAAAACAAACATGAACAGAATACACTCTCAACAAGCAAACTTTCTTTCCTCTCGTCGAGTCGATGCGCTTCCAGTCGGTTTAGAAAAATGGCCGTTATAGTACAAGAATAAACGTAATATGTACAACACAGAACAAGTATATTTGGGGTTTGTTTGGTGTCAAAACACAGGAATCAAAACGAGAACAAACTAACTTTTAATTAACTTTCAGCTGTAGATTTGTTGAAGCTAATAAAAGTAGAAAAGGACAAAGGGTGTCTGTTTTCTCACTTAACTTCAGCAGCCAAAATATACACATTTCCTCTTCAAACCCCCCCATCTCTTGTTGAGCTGTTTGTTTTTCCTTCATTTGATTTACTACGGCAGCCGGAGCAGGTTTAGTTTACGGTTTAAAGCTCAGGAGACTTTGGCAACGTCGCATATCGCAAGACGTCAAGGCAGGTCAGAGCACAAATTAGGAAAAACAGACTGAGTTTTGGCACTTTAACCTACAAAAAAACAAACAATTTACTTAAAATTTAAAGCAATAGTTTGACATTTTTGTGAGACAGACTTGTTTGCTCTCTTGCCGGGATTTTGCCGAGAAGATGGACACCACTCTCATATCTGTGTTGAATATGAAGCTAAATTTAGCAGCCAGTTAGCTTAGCTTAGCTTAGCACGAAGACCGGAAACATGAAGGTTATATCTTGTTTGTGTAATGTGGTTTAGACGTGCTGGTGGGTGGATTGTGTCACTGTGGAGGGAGCCAGGCTAGCTGTTTCCCCCCCGTTTCCAGTCTTTATGCTAAGCTACGCTATTATTAGCATACAAACATAAAAAGTGATCCTAATCGTCTCATCTCAGCAAAAAAAATAAAAAATAAGCGTTCTTTACACGACAGTTTGGGACAGAAAAACTTTTTAAGTTTTGAGAAGATGTCGACAAAAAAACTACAACTCTTCCCCTTTAAAATATACAGTAAACGCCGACTCATCTCCGTCTCCTCGTTCATCTTTTACAACCAATTTTTTACAACCTATTCCAGTCAAAAAACAACAGTATATACACATTGTATACATTATAAACACAAGTGTCTTCTGTACATATCAGTTATCATGTGACGAGTCAGCGGAGTCTCAAACCCCACACAGTAAAGCATGTTTAGAGTACAAAGTATTGTAATATTATAGGAGATAATACAGTATATGTATTGCTGAAAGCAGGTGTCAGCCAGCAACAAACGTGAATACAAATAAAAAAAAAACATCAGTTAATAATGCTGCATCTCAATAAATTGACTACGTGTTGCTAACGGTCTCCTTCGATTCTCTGAACCAGGAGATTTAAATACAGAATGAAACACAAAATAAAGCAGCGTCTCAGCGACACATTCAAGAGAGAAAATGTCTTTGGCAACGTAGTGTCATTAATACAGTACATGTATAGTGTGAAGCAGAGGATATCATGTATTTTTATGAGTGTGTGCTGAAACTTCTGGATCTCTGTTAACCCTTAAAAGAACAGTTTGACATTTTGGGTCGCTAAATACGAGGCTGAAGCTGGGAGACGGTTAGCTTAGCTTAGCATAACCTAAGCATTAGCCTTGGAAATCGGAAGTCAGAGCTGGGAATAGTGCCACACCCGAGTTGACTGCGCTCCAGTACAACTAGTTGGAAAACTTTAAGGGGTTTTGCTCCAGCCATTGTTATCCACTGTTAGACATTGCTAGCCACTGTTATCCATTGTTATCTATTGTTATCCACTCTTAGCCACGTTTTTCCGCTCTTAGCTATTGTTATCCACTGTTTGTTATCGTTAGTCACTCTTAGCTACTGTTATCCACTATTATCCACTGTTAGCCCATGTTATCCACTGTTATCCACTCTTAGCTATTGTTATCCACTGTTTGTTATCGTTAGTCACTCTTAGCTACTGTTATCCACTATTATCCACTGTTGGCCCATGTTATCCACTGTTATCCACTCTTAGCTATTGTTAGCCACTGTGAGCCATTATTAGCCAGTGTTAGCAATACCAGTTGATAATAACGCATTACACCGGTATTTTGCGCATACAAACATTGTAGCAACATACAGAAGTTGGACACCTCTGTACGTCTGACTGATTTTATAAATAAACAGCGTATCATTACAGCTTTTCTACTGCTGATGCGCTGAGCAGCCATCTTGGATTTTGAGGTCGGGGTGTAAGCGGGGTTTGGTCTGGACTTCAGGCGGCGTTCTAGTTGAAATTTCCAACCGATAACTTATTAAATTCCGTCTTCCCAGTTCAAATGGAACGCAGCAAAAGACTGACGCATATTTATCCAAAACATCAAACCTTTCCTTTCAGAGACGTGCATGTTTGCTTCCTCTTCCTTCATCATTCTTCCTTCTCTCGGTGTCTTTCACTGACTTAATGTGACTACAAGCCCCCTGCTTCTTCACCTCTTCAGGTTCACTTTTCTTCAATAATGTCCGTATCCCATCGACATTCCCATCCCGATCCCGATCCCCAGGCTCTCCCTCAGCCCCCTCAGCTGCTCCTCGCCCAGCCGGGTCTTGTCCTCCAGCTGCCTCTGCTCCACCAGCAGGGCGGCCTTCATCTTCACAAAGTGGCTGAAGAAAAAACACATCGACATTTAAAAAAAATATACACAAATGAGTCCATTAGCGAACTATTTGACTCTTAAATTGGAAAACCTTTTGGGCTTTAGCAGCCCTCCTGTATTCAGTGTGAGGTGGAGGGTGACGTGTTCGTACCTGTAGTCTCGGTGCTGCTCGGGCAAGAGGCAGCGGGCCAGCACCCGGCTGACGGTTTGCTCTCTGTGGTCCACGTGGTCCTTCAGGTCCTGAGCCTCGGACAGCTGCCTCATGAGCTGACGCTTCTTCTCCAGCAGGGGGAGCTAGAGGACAGAGAGACGCATTTAAGGACATTTAAGTGACTTTCTCATCATTTATCCTTGTTTTCTTTTTCAGCCTCTTGCTTTCCTTTGAAGTCCCGGTGAAACTCTTCTGTACTGCGACATGTGTCGGCCATGTTGCACCGTCATGTTTCTACGGCAGCCCAGAACGGACAAACTAAACACCGGCTATAGTGAGAGGCCACCGTAAATCCCCAATCTTTGTGCATTTACGACGCCGCTCACCCTCTCGTGGAGCTCCGTCTCCGGGTCCAGAGTGTCCAGCGTGGTCTCCACCCGCAGCAGCCTCCCGGACAGCGACAGCAGCAGACTCACCACTTTGTCCAGATCGCCGATGAACATGCGGAACTTGTCCACCTCGTTGGGTTTGCACACCGCCACCACCATGCTCTCCACCTGAGGACACAGAGATTATGTTTAATGTGGTTTGATTTGGTGCGTAAGATGGTAAAACTGACTGAAAAGGAGTTTAAAAAACCTCGATGTATGAATTAATGTGCAATAATTATGGTGCAAAAGCCAAATAAGTAAGAATCGGAGGATCTGGGTGTGTCCACGGTGGTCTGAGCGTGTTTCGGTTCCTTCCACCACATCCACTTCTGTCCTCACCTCCTCTCCTAGCTGAGCATTGGCTCTGATGTCCTCCTGCAGACCCCTCTGAGCTTCTCTCAGCACTCCCAGCTTCTTGCGGAGACTCTCCATCAGCTGCTTCTGCACGACACACACGGAGGAATTGTTAACGGAATATACTAAAAACAAGACACAGATTGCGCGACGCTGCCAGTTGAGCGAGCGAGACGGTAGCTGCGGGCGTCACCTTGTACGTGAGCTCGTCGTCCGCGTTTCTGTCTCTGTTATCGGTGAAGTCCTTCATCTGGGACAGGAGCTGAGCTTTGGCGGCTGAAGTGCTGTAATAGGACGAACAGCTGGAGCTCGCACCGGACCGCCTGAGGGAGGGGGGGGGGGGGGTTTATTTTATTTACATGGAGCTAAAACACAAAGAGGTCGAACCGATAAAACAGATACGAGGTCGTAGAATTGACTGATTAGAAAGGTACATAAATAACAAATGCAAATCAATTATGTCGGCTGAGTGAGGCAAAAGGAAAACATCTCGGCTCCGAGCGAGCGAATAAAGACACACAAATATGTGAACAGAGCAGATGACGACAGACATGAAAGAACATGAAACACATGAAAAATACATTTAAATCAAAGTGTTTTTGTCATACATACATACCTCAAATATAATGTTATGTGTGTTCTGGGTTTTTGTATATTTTTGCTCATATTTCATTAAAATATGGCTTTAAAACTGAGTAAAGTTGTGTATTTTTAAATAGGGTTTGGACAGGTGGAACTTTTAACCATATATCCCAGATTTCTGTCGATACATTAAAAGGAGAGTTGAGAGAAATGGGTTTAAAGGCACAAATTCTGATTAAACTGCTCACAATAAATGTAAAGGAAAGTGAATTTTGACGGCAAATTGTGCATCTAAACTCTCTGGGACTTATGTGGCAACAATTACCCATCTGGCAACCACAGATAGAAACCTGGCTGCAGTACGGAGCTCTTGGAGAGGTTGTGGGGAAACAGGGGGATCAGCTCAGTGACAAGAACAATCCAGTCTTGTATAAATCAAATGGTCTGTGTAATTAACACAGAGACGTACATTCCACCACTTAAGCCTCTCTCTCTCTCTCTCTCTCTCTCTCTCTCTCTCTCGTTACCTGTCCAAGCTGTCGGTGCTGTGCTCCGTGGTTTGGTAGGCCCCTCTCCAGCTCTCCCTGCCCGACTCTCCCTCACCGCTCTGGGGGAAGAGCTCCTCCAGGCTCAGCCTCTCTCCGTCCTCCAGCTCTTCCTCCTCTTCCTCCTCCAGGGAGCCGCTCTCCGCCCTCACCTCGGTGTCGATGTCCGTCTCCAGGACCGTGACCGGCAGAGCGAAGCAAGGGAGCTCGCTGGTGATCGGCTCGTCCTCCGCCGGGAGCCCGTCGTCCTCCTGGAAGTCGTCGATGTCCGTTTCCATCGGGATGTCCAGGTCCACGTCCAGGCTGTGCGCGGGACTCGGACTGAGGGTCGTCTCCGATTCGGGGATCTTCTGGGGCTCGATGGTCTGGAAGCCCCGGTTCATACGAAGCTGCTGCTGCTGCTCGTAGTGCACGGAGAAGTAGGATTCGGGAGGTAAGACGCCTCCGTTTTCTAGGACAGGTGGCAGGTTCGAGTCGCTATGAACTCTGGGAGACGGGGCTCTCTCCCACTCGGCTCCTGGTCTCGCGTTGGACTGCTGATTGTGAGGTTTCACTGTTACTCTCTCCTGGTCGGGGCCGACGATCATCTCGGATAAACTGCAGAGACACAGATAAAAACTTAATTAACACAAATACAAAGAAATCGAAGTCACTAAAAATGTCTACAGGAGTCAAATTTGACATATTTTGGTTCCCTTAAACCTGGTTTACCTGCTGCGGTGATGTCACAGTGTGCTGCAGGGTGTGGTGAGTACACTGTGACATCATTGCAGGGTGTGGCCACACGCGCAACAGTAAAACAAAGCTGTTCAAGTGAAATCCTGTCTTTTGAAGACGAGAAGGTTTTACTTTCAGGTCTCCAGCTTGGCTACAAAAAGCAGGATTAACCCACTATAACCACTGAAGAAGAGTGAGGTTGTGGTGGGTGGAGGCACATTATGTAATAATTGAACTCCCAGCTCACCTGCTCTCTGTTGGCGGAGGCGGAGGTGGAGGAAGCAACGGTAAAACCTCCACCCTCTCCTGCTGGCCGCCATACGAGCCCCTCAGGTCCCTCTCTTTTGGGGGCGGAGCCACTGGCCTGAAGCTCCTCCTGGAGAACATGGGACTGGGCGGAGCCTGATTCTGATTGGACGAGGCGTGGGAGAGTTCCTTGGTTTGGCCGCAGCTGCATCGCGGGCAGCCCTCGGAGACTTCCTGTCTCTCTGGAGGAAGACTGTAGGACCTCTGCCTGGACGTCTCAGGCGGAGGGATGCACGACAAGGAGTGGGTCGGATGGTGCGACTCTGCGGCGCCGAAGGACGGAGGGGTGGCGTGAGGTGAAGAAGAGGAGGAGGAGGTGAACAAGGCGTGGTGAGACGCACGCCTGCGGTGGAACTGCTCCCACTTTGGGGGCGGCGGTCTCGGCGGAGGTGGCGTCTTCTTCCTGTTTGGGCGGGCGGCGCCGTCGTCTTCTCCTCCCCTGACTCCGCCCACTCCTTCCTCCACCTCGCTCAGGGTCTGGCTGGTCGCCACAGAAATCGACGGCGACCAGCGGTGGCTGCCGCTGGCAAAGTGGAGGTCGTTTTCGGACATGGCTCGTCCTCGCAGCGAGAGAGGAGCCGGCGGCGGCAGAGCGAACGAGTGTCCGTTGCGATCGTCCCCGCTGTCGGCCCGTCTGTGGCCCCATCGACCCTGCTGGTGCTGATGATGCGGATTAACGCTCTCTGGAGGTCTGGACTCCCGTCTCCAGCTGGAGTAGTCCCTGGGATGTGGAGATTAGAGAGACGGACGTTTAAAGTTTCTTTGTCAACAAACGAATTAAAGGGTCCAATAAATTCATTCTCATTGTTATTCTGTTTCTTTCCACAAGAAGAGCGCAAACCACCGAGCAGATGGAGAAGTTTTTACAAGAATTTTGAGTGTAAACTCTTCATAACTAATAACTAAAGAAGTTTAAATTTGATAATTCAGTGATGTCTGCCTTTGAGGGGGCGGGACTTAGAACAGGTTTAATTTGTAGTTTTAGGTTATAATTATGTGGTGGAACTGCCGGGACTTTACACTTTCTGATTGTAGATGAGATTGAACAAAGAAAATAAAGTTTGGTAATTGGCGTATTTTTCGTTTCCCCCTCCTTGTATTTATGCTAAGCTAAGCTACCTACATCCTGACTCCAGCTCTGTATTAACGTTTACCGAAAATGTGAACTACTAATTTAATCATTCATGACTAAACAATCAAGTTTGGACATCTTATATAACAGTTCAACTCAGCTAACCTGATTTATCGGGCGGTTTGATGATTTTATTGAGTTTTCTTTGCGACATCGACCTCACAACTGTCCTCACTTTCTCATGTTGCTTAATTTTGGATTGTGGCAAAGCACAGAAAACACACATTCTCATGCGGAATAACTAATGCTGCTCCAAATTTGGGCAGAAAAAAAAGAACATTTGTGTCAAAACCTGTCCCTCTAGGGTTTGAAATTTCCCCGTTACGAAACAAAAACAGTCGGAGAAAGTGGTTAAATTACAGTAAATGTTTCCTTTTTACATTCCGGACTCTCTGAACTGTTTCTGTCTCAGGTCAAGTACGAGTACAAGCTAACATACAGGAATCCCCACCCAACCACATACCATTATGGGCCCATTTGTTAAGCATGGATGATTGCTCTGCACACTTAAGAGCTCATTATAGTCAAAACACAGTCGGGCATGACTGAGTGGGATTTCCGCCCCCCACCCCGTTGGTGCACAATGGGCCGACCCCACCTAAAGTCTCCGGAGACTCACTTAGAGACAATCAGAGACTGAGCAAAATGTGTGCCGGCCATGTCAGGAATATAGAAGGTCAATCAAGTCAATGCTACTTGTTTATATGAATGTGTGTGTTTGGACTAAAGGAAGCGGCTCACCTCTCAGTCAGGCTGCACTTCCTGTTGAGCGTGGGCGTTTCCTGTTGCCGGGCGGGATGCATCTGTGGAAGACATTTTTTTAAGTCTGGTTAATGACACCGAAAGGAATGAATCTGGTAATGAGTGTCCGTCAGCACTTGTCCCCGCTGAAGGGAGGTGGGTGTGTTACTCCACTCTGACATACACTTCCATGGTGAGAAGTCAAGAACCTGCCTGGCAAGCAATCGCTCCATTTCAGCTCACTTTTCAAAAGACTAAATTCTTTTATATTATGCGTTTCCTTCTACGGCTGCAACTGACAATGTTTTCCTTAACCAATAAAACTACCAATTATCTTAAAATAATACATAAAGTATCGCAGAGCGCAAGTTTACGTCTTCAAATCTCTTGTTTTGTCTGAACATTAGTCCAAAACATTTTAGAGTCAGAATCACAAATGGTTCATTGCCAAGTATGTTTGACACATAGAAGGAATGTTGCATGTCAATAAACACAGTTAAATAATATAAGACATGATTAAAACGTTTTAAACAGAATATAATAAACAGAAAATAATAAGTCTGTTTTTTTAGTGTTAAGTGTCAGTTTGATATAATAAAAGACTCAATAAAACATCAAATATTCATATTTGAAAACATTTTTCATTAAAAACAACAATGAATCAATTACATAATGTTGCATTGTTACATTTAATTGTGTTTTATTCTATTTAAATGTAATTGAACTCAATTAGACTTCATGTATATAATATTTATGCAGTTCTATTTCTAAGGGTGTGCTTTTATTTTAATCGCATCTCAATGTCTTCATCTACTGATAGTTTGCTTGGTTGTTATCGAGTTCAGATTATTTTGCCAAACTTCTGCTAATCTCATTATCCTGAAAAAGAGGTTCCATTTGTATTGACTTGGTAGATAAATAAACGGGAACATTTTAAGACTTAAACTGATAAAACTGTCTCTTGTGGATGAAAGAAAAGATTCCCTTTAAGGCGAATGTTTCGAGTGATGAGGTCACTAACAGAGTCAACAGTTCAGACCGAGAGACTCAAATCAATTCGTGGTAAAAGTTGAAACCCAACGCTGCCATTATCGCTGACACAAGCGTTCGCCGCTGTTGCCCAATCTCCCTCAGTTCAGCTCTTGACCGCACGCAGGATGCGAGGCTTTCGACTTTAAACCAACCGTTCAACCACGGAGGGACCTGGACCGCTCACAGCGCCAAAGTCCAAGAACGGTCACTCGATCCCCTTTGTGTGAAGCTGCTTTTAAAGAAAACAAGATGCTTTTTCGGGTCTCCGGCGGCCATTAGCTCGGCCTAAAAACCCACAGTCTGATTTCAGTGAGCTGCAAAGTTTAACTTTGACTCTGAAAGGCGTTACTTGGTGTCAGGGCTGCAGGCTGTTTGGCTCGTAAACACACTTGTCAACGGATTGCTGACGTGTTTTTCTCTCAACAGGAAGAAATCCTGTTTTTAGATCTTATGAATGTTGCTTCAGTATAGAAATTCCTTTTTATCAGTAATGTTGATATTCTTTTGGCTGCAGGCCGTGTTTAATAGCTTAACAATTAAGCTATTTTACCCAAAATGAGTGCCAGTAAAAGTTTAACATGAGATAAAACATTTTAAAGACATTTTAGTTTGGATGAGATCCTCTGGTTCTTCTTCTCGGTCTGTTTGTATTTATACATATTTCATTTCTTGGTTTATTCCACTGTAGTTAAGTGTGTGTCCATAGATTTGTCTTGATGAGTTCGAGCAGCACTCTTACCTCTGTGGGCGTGTAGCACCTCGCTGTGTAACCCTGGTGAAGAGGCTGCTGGTTCTCCAGGAGCTGAGAAGGTGTGTTGACGGGATGAAAAGCCGATCTCGGGACTTGACTCTGGGTGTGGCCGTGGGAGAATGCCTGAGGCTGGAAGTTGTGTTGGAAATCCTGGTTTCTTTCTTTGGTGCCGTAAGACTCCCGATGTGAGCCGAGCTGAGCATCGTCTTCCCTTTCCTTCTCTCGTTCCCTCTCAAGCTCCTTCTCTCTTTCTCTTTTGAGACGTTCCTTCTCTTTTTCCCTCTCCAACTCAAGCTCCCTCTCTCGTTCCCTCTCCCACTGTCTCACCCTCTCTTCTCGTTCCCTCTCCCGCTGAATCTCCTTCAGTCTCGCCCTCTCCATTTCTAACTCCCTCTCCTGTCTTTCCTTCTCCCGTTCCCTCGCCCTGTCCTCCCTCTCTCTGGCTTGCTTCTCTCTCTGCCTCTCCATGCTGGTGCTCACGGACATCCTCCTGGCTTCCGTAGTGTTTTGAAGCGGCGCGCTTTCCTGCTGAAGCCCCCCCTGGTAGGAGTATCTCCTCTGATTGAGCTCCCCTCCCTGGAGCTCCAGATGATGCAGGGGTTTCTTCTGCCTGCGACTCGACAGACTCGAGATATTAGACGCACCTTTGCTTGTCTCCTCGAAAAACTTCATTCTATCTGCAAACGGAAGGATATCCGAGTCCTCCGTCCGAGAACTGGAAGAGGAGCGACTGTATGAGGAAGTGGATGAGGAGGTGAAGGCACAAACCCCATGCCGTGACCCCGTGGCTCCCGACGTCTTGTCACCCGAGACTCCACACCGCCGTTCTGGTTCTGGTTCCGGCTGGAGTTTATGCTCGGGGGTCCAACGCCAGCGGCGGGCTTTGCCAGCAGGTGCCGGTTCCTCCACGACTCGGACGGCGACGCCGACACCAAAACTGGGCACTGCTGTGTCCACAATCTGGACGGACCTGGATGGGATGTTGTTCTGAGTGTAGGTTGTTGACTGAGTCTGCAAGGCGTCATCGTTTGATTCACTTGCGGGTTTTGTTTTCTCAGCCTGTGCTGTGGTGCTGGCATCTTGGGGACTAGCAGGTGAGGCAAATGCAACTGTGGTACTCCTCTCCTGGGCGGGCAGTTCAGGCTCTGCCCCCTCTTCATTGAGGTCTGGACCCTCTTCCTCCTGGACAGTTTCCCCACTACAGAGCAACCCTCCTGGGCCACGACTCCTCTGAAGCTGGGCCTTTTTCCTCTGGATCTCATTGCGGAGGTTAGTAGCAAATCGCTCGCTACGACGACGGTTTCGACGATAGTTCCTGGACGCAGTTGACTTCTTCATGTCTGTCTCTTCTGCTACACCCTCCTTACTTTTACCTTCACTTCCTCCTCTATCCAATTCCTTCTGCTCCTCAAGTAATGTATCCACACTGGCAGCAGCGCTAAGAGGCTCAAAATCTCTCTCTAGTATCTGGTCAGAGCTTAACCTTCCCTGGGTTGACAATCTAGTGGGGTCCCCCGGTACGCTCACAGAGCGGCCCCATGTGTGGTGAGGCCCACCATTTACACCCATCCCATCCAGCCTTTTACTTGAGTTTCCATCATCATCATCCCCTTCTAAGAACACAGATCCCGGGGTCGAGCAACGGCTGCCCCCCCACTTGTTTGATGGCGCGTGGAGTTGGTTGTGAGAAGCTTCTTGGTCTTCCCCCGTGGGCTGAAGAGATGAATGGGACCACTGGCTGCTACAAGGGGACAAGGAGGGATCAGAAGTGTTCGACGGATTGCAAGGCTCCAAAGAAGAGCCGTCGCTATTACACTGCAATAACTGAAGTTGTTTAGCATGGAGCTTATCGGGGGCGCTGTGCCGGGGAAGCCCCGTAGAGGAGTGCTTAGTCTGGGAGTGCGTGATATGAGACTCCTCTTGAACCGCAACGGAGGATTCTGCAGGCAAGGAGCCAGGGCGAGAGGAGGTGACGGTGACTAGTGAGGACGTCACAGGATCAGAGACGTGATCTGAGGTCGTCTCTGAATTGTAGCCTTTATTAGTGCGAGGATCACATCTGATATGTCTCACGTCTTCTGTCTGTCTTTGGATATAGTGCGAGTCTACGGTATCCGCTTTTAAATTCCCAGTTTTGTCACCTTCTTCTGGTGCAGGGAAGCCGTTAAGAATTCCTGATTCAACATTCAGAGAGGACTTGTTTTCGTCAGGGTAAAAGGAAACACTGGAAATTTCAATTGGAGCGGAGACGCACCGTTTGTTGGCGGCATTAGGCCGAGTCCGGGTTGCCCTAAAACTGTCCTTCCTGGTTGGAGGCTGAGGAGGGTTCATCTTTCTCTCAGTTCCTCTTTCTCCATTTCTTATGATCTCAAAGTCTCCTCCCTCGTAACAGCAGGAGGAAGGCCTCTCTTTTACCTGAACAGGCCTTGCTCTTGGCCTGGTCAGGGACCTGGACTTGAGTACAATAAGCTGCACCTCATCCGGGGCCTCGCCAGAGGCAGTCCCCAGGGTTGAGGTATCACCGCTCGGGTATCCTCGACAAGCCGGCCCCAGGCTCTGGAGGAGGTTGTCCATGGAGCAGGCGTCACCGGGCCTTAGCGGCACCGTGGCGTAGTCGGATGTGTTTGAGCTGGCGGAGAACGAGCTGTAGGCAGAGTCTCTCTTGTCGTTGAAGAGGGTGGGGTCGACGGGGGAGTTATGGGAGTCGGAGTATGGCTGCGTGGTGGTTGTCGGTGCGTCCAAGCTCTCCATGGAGCCCAGAGAACTGCTTCGGTCAGTGGAGGAGTAAGGTCTCGACAGCTGACCCCACTGCAAGGACAAGTCACTGCAAAGACAAGGAGACAAAGTAGATCAACTAAAGTGTTTCAAAAGGAGACTTTGATTATCTACTTGGGATATTAAAGGCACTCTTCAGACTAAACAAGCAAGCTGACGTCACCTTGACAAGTGTCACGTTGCTAATTTCCCCTGAAACACAGTGTATGTGGTTCTGGAATACGACTTTTGAACTGCACAGCTGGGAAGTCTGTTTTCTATCAGTCCTGAGCCGAAGATCTACGGCAGCACCACGTGATTTCAAAGACATTTGGAGGAAGCCTCTGAAGGCGGAGAGGGATTTCCTCCTCATCAAATGCAAACTGCCTGAAGTCAAAATCTTCCAGTCAACCCTGTGATTCCTCTCTTTCTGTCCCATCTTCTTTGCAATAAATGTTGATTTAATCCAAAGCCGCATTTTTGAAAAACGACTCATTTGAATTTGATTGACATCGTTAAATGAAAACAAATTTGTTGACATTTACTTGATAGTAGGTCAGTTAAGCTTCGCATTGATTACATGACATGATGTTTACAGAAGAGCCCGCTCATGCTTTAGTCAGTACTAGCCCATATTTTGTTTATACAGCCCAAAATCCCAAATTTGATCCAGAGGGCTTTACAATCTGTGCAACATATGGCACCTGCTGCCCTCAGACGCTTGATTCAGATGAGGAAAGACTCACCAAAAGCCCTTCAAACCTTAACGGAAGCAGAGGAAGGACAGCTCTTCCACAACCACAATATTGATTGAGGCTGACCTCTGTTGCACATCACGCACCTCATTCTGTTCCCTTCTACTTCCAACTGTCCGATGAAAGGCCAAAAATGCCCCAAAAAAATAGTACAAAAAGAAGAAATAAAAAGGAATTTCCCAACAATCCCAACTTGTTGGCGAAAACCACATAAGACAAGGTGACGGGGAGTTCTTTTCAGCATAAGGAGAGCTTAAGAAACGGGGGTATCGATTCCAGAAGGAAGGGGCACCCAGTGTTTTTGTGCTTGGTTGAAATCCAATCCATAAAAAGACTGCTACAAAAATGTTATTTTCATTTTTATGTGGTATTTCTCTTTGCTATATAAAGAGAAAGTGGTCACTCACCCCTTTGTATTTCTTTGATGTTCTTATTCAGACATTAGGGAAAGTAGCCAAGGAGACAGAGGAGAGGTTGGAGAAGAGAGAAATATCTAAAAACGAGCTTTGATCGCAAACAAGTATGAAGACACAGCCAGCAGACGCTCCCTGGGCTGTTTCTGTGGCATTTATGGTTTGCAATCCATGCAAAGATCTGGATATGTTCCACTTATAAAGTACATTACCACAACTAAATCTAATAAAAACATGATCTGCTCATGAAGTCAAATATTTTTGTGGTCTGCAGTCATTTTATGCACTCACCATTTTGAGGTAAATAAAATCCATGACATTTACTTTAAGAGCATGCAAGTGCTTTTGCATGTTATGGCTCATTTATTACAAATCCTATTTTGCAAGGGATTCTTCGGTGTTGAAGGAAAGAATGGAATTTGATTG